GGTCTTAGTAATGATTTTATTCTATATGACCCCAAAAGCACAAGCAACAAAAGCAAAAATAAACAAGTGGGACTACATCAAACTAAAAAGGTTATGCACAGCAAAGGAAACAATTAAGAGTGAAAAGGCAACTTACGGAATGGTAGAAAATATTGCAAACCATATATCTGATAAGAGGTTAACATCCAAAATATATAAGGAACTCATAAAACTCAAGAGCAAAAAAGTAACTGGATTTAAAAATGGGCAAAGGACCTGAATAGACATTTCTCAAAAGAAAATATACAAATGGCCAACACGTATATGAAAAGGTGCTCAACATCACTAATCATCAGGGAAATGCAAATCAAAACCACAATGAGATATCACCTCACATCTGCTAGAATGGCTATCATCAAAAGACTAGAGATAACAAGTGTTAGTGAGGGATGTGGAGAGAAGAGAACCCTTATACACTGTTGGTGGGAATATAAATTGGTACAGCCATTATGGAAAACAGTATGGAGGTTGCTCAAAAAGTTAAAAACAGAACTATCATATGATCCAGCAATCCCACTTCTGGGAATATAACCAAAGGAAATAAAATCTGGATTTCAAAGAGATAACTGCACTCCCGTGTTCACTGCAGCATTATTCACAATAGCCAAAATATGGAAACAACCTAAATGTCCGTCAGCACATGAATAGATAAAGAAAATATGGTGTGTGTGTGTGTGTATTTGTGTGTGTATTGTGGGAGATCAAAATTGGCCACCCTGAAATATATCTCTTTACTTTAAGTATTTTCTCTGATGGACATTTGACCTCCCCCACTAACTGCCTAAAGAATTTAACTCGGGGTATGGACAGACTGGCAGGGTCCTCGCTAAGCCCATTCTTAACAAAGTTCTGTTTACCAAATATTTACATTTGTAAAGGTATCTCCCTCTGTGTAGTGGGAAGAGGGGGGGATGACCTTATCTTTGAAAACTCTTATCAGGACAGAAGAAGACAACTTAAATCTACATACTCTTGATTACTATAATTCCTGTCTCCCCGGCCACATTCTCTAGGTGGCCCTGCTAGGAGTTGCCAGACAAACATTTACATTTATAAGGGAAATCTCCATTTGTAAAGGTATCTCCCTCTCTGTATTGGGAAGAGGGGGGATGACCTCATTTCTAGAAACTTATCAGTGGGGAAGATGAGGCCTTAAATCTGCATAATAACTTCACTGTTGTTTACTGTGCTTTACTGGTAATCTCCCGTAACTGACTCCCCACACCCCCAACATCCTCCTTTGTCTTTGGCTGAAGATGGTATTTAAGATGAGAATCTCTGCTATTGTGTTGAGAAACTCAGTTTCCCTGGTTTCTCCCATGTCTACATGTTATTAAACTTGGTATTATTTTCTCCTGCTAACGTGTCTTGTTAATTATTTGGCCAGCCAGAAGAACCTTAAGGGAAAGGGCAGAGGGGGATTCTCCCTCTTCCCTGACAGTTTGTAATACTAGATACTGCAAATTTCATGGTTTAAAAAATGTATACAAATGTATACATACAATGGAATACTATTCACCCTTAAAAAAGATATCCTCACGTTTTTGATAACATGGATGAACCTTGAGGACATTATGCAAAGTGAAATAAGCCAGACACAGAAAGAGAAATACTGGATGATCTCACTTATGTAGACTCTAAAACAGACTCAGAAGTAGAGAGTAAAATACTGGTTACCAGGAGTGGGGTGGAGGGGGAAATGGGTAGGTGTCGGTCAAACAGTACAAAGTTTCAGTTATGCAAGAAGAATAAGTTCCGGAGATCTAATGCACACCATGGTGACTATAGTCCACAATACTGTATTGTATACTTGAAATTTGCTAAGAGGGTAGATCTTAAGTGTTATCACCACACACCCACACACACAAGAAACTGGTAACTATGTGAGGTGACAGATATGTTAATTAGCTTGATTGTAGCGATCATTTCACAATGTATACATATATCAAAACATAAAGCTGTATACCTTAAATACTTACAATTCCTATTTGTCAGTTATACCTATATAAAGCTGGAAAAAAAAGGATTTCAGCTCTACTGTGAGAATTCTGTCTCAACATTCTCAACAAGAAGAACATTCTTATTATAGATTGGAGGCCCTGGGCTTAAATGACACTTATTGTATAAATACAAATTGTTTATACTCAATTAGAAACTACAATTAGATTCAGTAAGCTATAAAACCACATTTAAATTAAATTGAAACAAAGTAACTAGAACTCACAAATTAATATTTCTTTTCTGTTACTTTTTTATGAAAAAAATGACAAGAAAATAATTCAAACTCACATCTAGAAAAAAGAAACATCCAGTGATGTCTATGGCTAACCATATACACACAGCCCAATTGCCAGTCATTTTATAGATCTGAATATTGCAAATTTCATGGTTTTAAAAAAATGATCACCATACGGTTCTGCAGAGTTTTCTAATGAAGAGATTCAATTTTATTCACTAGATGTGAATATAATTAATAAGGCAGGAGTATATTGATACTTAAAAAAAATGTTTAACAAGAAGAGTTGAACTAAAAAAGAATTTTCTGGTTAGCCACAAGTTTACCAGAAGATTCAATTAACCAGAACACCTCATTCATAAAGTGTTTTGGTTTAGTAGAGGCTTTATTGTAAATAGATTTAAACAGAGGCATAACTCACTTTATACAATAAAAGTACCTAGAAATGTTGCATGCAAATCACATTTCATTCCTTCAGAAATTCTAAGTTCCTCAAGGATTGGATCCTGACTTTCTGAATAGTCCTCTAGCACTTAGCTGGCAACCAACTCTGTTTAATACGTAATTCAATTAAATTCTATTTAAAATTTACTGGGGAATACAACAAATACCAAGGAATCCTGTGTATACCATAACATAGGAAAGAGTACAAATTTATTTTAAAATTCAGAAATATGTAAATTCAGCTATTAGGGACAAATGCTAGTTACTTATCTTCCTACCTAGATTTTTTTTTTTGGTGAGGAAGATTCACTCTGAGCTAACATCTGTTGCCAATCTTCCTCTTTTTTTGCTTGAGGATTAGCCCTGAGCTAACATTTGTGCCAGTCTTCCTCTATTTTGTATGTGGGTCACCGCCACAGCATGGCTTGATGAGTGGTGTAGGTCCGTGCCCGGGATCCAAACCCGTGAACCTGGGCCGCCAAAGTGGAGCACACTGGACTTAACCACTACACCATGGCGCTGGCCCCCCACCTAGATTTTGAGCTTTCCAAAGATGGGAGTGTCAAAATAGGCTTAAAAACATTTCTCTAAGAGCAATAAACATGAGAAAGAATCATGAGAGTCAGCAAGTATGTAGAGAAGTGAATCTATCCTAGACTGCTAAGAACAGTGCCTCACACACATACAAGAGGAGTTCGGCAAATATTTTTCGTTGAGTGAATGAATGAATACCACCTTTATGCATGTCACTTTGGCAACGTATTGATATTTTTCACGCCTTCTGACCTACAATTCCATTTCTAGAAATTTATTTTAAGGAATTAGTTATAGATGTACCTAAAGAATTGCATACAAGGTGTTTTGACAAAGCACTGATTACAACAGCAAAATAATTGGAAATATGCTCAATTTCCAAAAATTTATAGAAATTGTACATTTGATAAAGGTACATTCATACAACAAAATATTTATGCCACCATTAAGAATTCCGTCCAATATCATCCAACTAGTCAGTGGTGGATTCAGGATACAGATTCAGGCCTGTCTAACTCAAGTATACATTTCTAGCTGTGTAGATAAATCTTAGGGGTAACTTGAGGCTGGAAAAGATAAAAAGTACAATGGTAAATAGAATCAGTAACCAAAATTAGATATCAACAGGCTGGCATGATAGACTACATCAATAAGATGAAAGTTAAACAGGCATAAACGTATCTGCAACTGAGTCCAAAAAGTCCATATACAAAAGTACAGATTGGGAAAAGACATAGCTTACCAGTAGCCCATGTAAAAACGTTTAATGAATTTTAAAGAACTGAAAGTTCACTACGTCATGGTCAAAGGCTGATTATAAGCAAGGTTGATTGTGAGGACTCAAAAATAAATATAAAAAGGAATGTGATCTTAGGCAGCATTAATAGAAATATGTCATCTAGAACAAGAGAAGTCAGAGTCTGACTATCCTGCAGTCATCAAAATACCTACACCTGAAGAAAACACTAACTGTTCTGAACATGTCTGGCAGAGAATGATCATGATAGTGAGGCAACTTAAAGCTATGACATATAAGGAATGGTTAAAGCTACTAATATACTTATCTGGGAAGCAAAACTACTTAAAGTGTAACTGACATCTGAAGAGTTGTTTTGTGGAAGAGAGATGAGAGTTTTTCTGTATGGCACCAATGCAACAGACACAGGGCCAATGGGTAGAACTTATTATGAGACAGGTTCGTGTTTGACATAAGGAAGGAACTTAAGTTGAATGAGAGCTGTCAGAAAATGGAATGGGCAGCCTTAGGTTCTTTTTTCCAGTTTTATTCATGTAGAAGATAAATGACCACTTAGTGTGCCTATTATAGAGGGGATTACAGTACTATACAGAAGGTTGAACTAGAAAACATCTAAGGTCACCTTCAAAACTGAGATCTTAATGAATTTCTTAAACTAAGGCATCCAAATATCAGGTGTACCTGTATACATTTTTCAAGAAAGAAAAATCAGACTGCTTAGAAGTACTAACACCCTATACTACTCAATGATTATTCATTAAGAAAAATCACCAGTTGTTTTTCATTGGAGTTAGGATTTTAGATGTTTGGGTTAAATATAACCCAGTGTTTATTTTGAGACACCTTATAACTATTTCTTTCGACTTATTGTGCCCAACAAATACTTCAAAGATATTTTTGATGAATAGAGGTAACTAAAAAAAAAAACCTCAGAGCTTTTGCATCATATTTATGTTATACAAAATTCACCAACTTTTGTAGGCAAGCTACCTGCTCTGGTTTCACCAGCTGCTTTTTGGATTCTTCTTTGGCTGCATGCACACTTATAGACGCACATATCAGACCTGTAGGCATCGTTGTCAGCTTTCCCATCTGAGAAAGATATAGCAAAAAGATATTTTTAATTGAAAAGCTCCCCATCCTCCATTTCCAGATAAAGTTTGGGGGCATCTGAGGAACACTATGGGTTTCATTTAAATTTATTAAAAACTCAAGCACTCCAAATTACTTTATACATTTTTAGCATATAATTCCTAAAATTCTCTTCTCATACGAGATGGTAGAGTATTATTTTTACCAATTTGTTAACTACCTACTTCATATGGAATATAGCAATATAATAATTACCAGGAAGAAGTGAATTCAAAATCTGAGGGATGAAGTGGGATAGATCATGGTATTCACTCAGCCCACAATATTAACTGAGCAACTACTAAGTGCCAGACCCTGGCCTCAGTGCTTAACAAAGATTCTTGCTCTCATGGAGCTGCCATTCTAGTGGAGCAGAGACAGGTAACAAAAACAATAAATAAATTATATGGTATACTACAAATTGATAAATGCTATGGAGAAAGTAAAGGATAATGGTGATCTGGAGTACTGTGTGATTCAGGTTGCGTCTTGAAATATAATTTATATTTACATTATTTTTAAAAATAATTTCCTTCCATTACAAATCTTTTGACCCTAACTTTCCCAGTGCATTCTTTATCTGTTTCATGCTTAATCTAAAGCCAAAAGTGACCTTTGTTTTGGATATAACTTGATTTGAATTAAGAATGCAGAAAAATTACTGGATCTAAGAACAAAGTGTTCCAGTGTTTATTCAGGTATCAAAATAATCCTGAAAGATTATCCATTCAACAAGGCCAAATGAAAATCTTTCCTTGGAACAAGTATTTTAAGAGCTTGATTCTTTAGATGGGAAAGGAGGCTTGCTGAAATTAACAAAGGACATCTGGAGGGAAGTCTCTTTGGCTTACAGATAAGTGGAGTTGTGCAAGAACTGGAAGAAACACTGGCCAAAGGATTCTAAATGTTCTCTGATAACAGTGATAGTGCCTGTACTTCATTTCTGACATATTTTTCAATATTTCCTGAGCATATTAAGGGAAGCTACAGGTACTAGTTAAGCAACGGCCTGTTTAAACTAGGCATGACTCTGATTCAGATTGAGACTCCAGAAATATAGGGTAAAATGAAGACAATACTAATAATAGAAATTTTCTTCACTGTTTTTCTCCATTCAAGTCTCCCTCTAGTACATATGTTAGCATCACAGAATGATTTATCTAGGCCTGCCTTCCCCAAAAACCTCACTTTTGATTTCTTATACCCAGTTGGTATTCACTAATGAAATAACAAGATTTCCACTCCATACCTATGGCAGGTATCAATAAAAAAAAAACATTTTAAAACTGATGCCAGCAAAGCTGCTCTCCCACGTACCTGAGAAATTTTGTTAATAAAGCTCTGAAGTGATTATTTGAAGGATGTCAATTCTTACATTTAAAAGCTATTTTTTTTGTGTGAGGAAGATCAGCCCTGAGCTAACATCCATGCCAATCCTCCTCTTTTTGCTGATGAAGGCTGGCCCTGAGCTAACATCTATTGCCAATCCTCCTCCTTTTCTTCCATTTTTCTCCCCAAAGCCCCAGTAGGTAGTTGTATGTCATAGTTGCACATCCTTCTAGTTCCTGTATGTGGGATGCCGCCTCAGCATGGCTGGAGAAGTGGTGCGTCGGTGCACGCCTGGGATCCAAACCTGGGCCGCCAGTAGTGGGGCATGCGCACTTAACCGCTAAGCCATGGGGCCAGCCCCGAAAAGCTATTTTTTAAACACCTGATTAGACCTTACTCCCTAGATATAAGAAAAACACTTTTGAACTATGCTAACATCTGAAAAATTTTTAACCTAATGTTCTCAGAGTATAGTCATTTTACTTCACATAATGCAATAATAACATTACCAAGCAAGGGCTCACTATCTGATGTGCATAGAGGCCAACACTATGGCACTGGCTTTTGAGAAAGGAAAGAGCTTTATTGTGAGATCAATCAGCAAGGAGACAGGGGGCAAGGCTCTTAAATCTGTCTCCCTGATCCGGGGTTTAGGGTGAAATTGAAGGAGTTAGGGGTAGAAGCTGATTGGCTAGTCTCGAATCAGTCCATATACGGTAATCAAGCTGCTGGAAGCCATATTTTCCTTATTAAAGGACTTCTTGCTTCATAAAAGCTCAGGTGGCAACAATTCTGAAGATTCCTGGTTCTGGGGTCATCCTGGGGCTACAGGTTCCCACCTGGTACATGCGCAATGCTGTCTCTGGACCAAAGTTTAATTAATCAACAACCTGTTTTAAGGAAACAAACTAGTTTAAGCTGGTCAATGTTTTATGTGCTGTTTCAATAATAACATGTAGACTATAAAACAAACTTATAGGTATTGCTTGATAATTATGATCTAGTGCTCCAGAGTCTGGATTGACTAACTGAACTAGTGGCCTAAAAAGTTAATATACCTTGAAAAATGCCTAAGTATCTTCACTACATTTTTTACTCAGTAGGACAGAGTCCATCCACCTTGACTTTTACTGACGAGGCAATATGGCATAATAGAAAAAAACATGAACTTAGGAGTTGCACAGACCTGGTTTTGAACTCCAGTTGTAGAACTTACTGCCTAATCTCGGCAAGTTATTTTTTTTTTTTTGTAAGGAAGACCAGCCCTGAGCTAACATCCAATGCCAATCCTCCTTTTTTTTGCTGAGGAAGACTGGTCCTGGGCTAACATCCATGCCCATCTTCTTCTACTTTATATGGGATGCCGCCACAGCATATCCTAACAAGGAGTGCATCAGTGTGCACCCGGGATCTGAACCGGCGAACCCTGGGCCGCCACAGCAGAGTGTGCGCACCCAACCACTTGCACCACTGGGCCAGCCCCTCGGCAAGTTTCTTAAGCTCTTAGAAACATGCTTCCCAATATGGTAACTACTGGCTACATGTGGTTATTTAAATTTAAATTAATTAAAAATAAATAAAATTTAAAATTTACTTCCTTAGTCACATTAGCCCTGTTTCAAGTGCACAAAAGTGTATTGTAGAGCACAGATATACAATAATTCCATCATTGAAGAAATTTCTACTGGATAGTACTATCTTAGAAGGTGATACATCTAAAAAAATAGGAATGCCTTCTCTTTTATGATTATCATGAAGATTAAATAAAGAATTATATGAAAATTGCTTGCACTTGGTAAATGGGTAATTATTTTTAGCTCCCCATTCCTTCTGATTGCTGAATAAAGATGTTAAGTGGTTGTGCTTACTCCCTCTTTTTCTTCTCATATATATTTGATGTTAATCAGGTTCTAGTAAGAACCATAATAACAATAAAAAATATAGCACACTTATTGCCTCTAAACAAAAAAAAGGCCAAGATTTTGATCAAAAGGAAACAGGCAGAACGGCACACTCAGGCTTTTTCAAAACACAGGTTATACTAATGAAGAAGGCATCACTATCCAAAGAAAGGCAGCTGACTGTATACCGCACTGAAAAATTTAGAATCGGGATTGGTGAACCACAGCTCCGGGCTAAATCTGGCCTGGACTCTGAACTAAAAATGTTTTTTTAAAAAAAAAAAACATATGTAAAGATTTGTAAAAACAAAAATAAATGAACAAAAAACAAAGAAGAATATGTGACCTTATCTGTTCTGCAAAGTCTAACATATTTACTATCTGGCTCTTTACAGAAAAAAAATCGCCAACCTCTGATTTAGAAAATCAAATAGGATATTTAAAAAGTATCAGAGCTTCAGAGTATTATAAATCTTACAAGATCATAAGGTTGTTAACTAAATAGCATTAAAATTGAGCAGAGGCGATCCTAGTTTGCAGAAGAAGGTAAGACCTTGAGTTAAAATTATTTGTAACTTTAAAATAATGATTTATCAACTCAAAATTATAAATGACTTGTTTAAAATCAATGACAGATAAAAACTGGCTCCCTCCAAAAGATAACAGGTCCTAGAACAGAATTCTATCATACACAGATCTACAAATAGAAGACTAAACATTAGGTAAGTCTCCCATAAGATTCAACCCTTCCAAGAGCTTCTGTAATCAAAAAACAGTTGATTTTCATTATTTGTCATAGTTATATTCCATAAAATAGCCACGAACACTGATTTAGGGAATACCGAACCACAGGGTTAATTTCTTGTGAGCTTCTGGTGACATTTTTATCAACTGATCAATACATAACTTTGTTTTATATGTGTTTCTGTTTAAAGACATCTTATTTAATATATATTGTTGATTCATTAACATTGAACTCACAGCAACAGCATTATAACTCATGCCTGAATGAAGTTTGTTGAACATATATTTTCTCCGTTAAGGCATATCACAGTTTTCTTTCACTTAAGAACACTAGATAGCACTTCTGCACTATGCATGGGGGCCATTTTAAATAGCGGCATTACCAAAAAAAAAAAAAGGTAAAAAGATGTAGCACTAATTAGACCACAAAGGGGACAATTGTTCACAGTATGAGAGCTGAAACAACAGGGCAGAGCACTGACTTGTCCAACTTCCCTTGGTGTAGTATAAGCCTTGACAGTTGTTTTTTTCATTTTTTGTAATGCAAGTGCCTGACTTAAGCTTTGACTGCTGAGGCATCCATTTCAAAGAGGCATCCATTTCAAAGAGGCATCCACTTCAAAGTGGCTATCTTAACACATGGCTAGCCACAGGACTAGATAAAGAGCCAGGCCACAGCTTCCTCTGACTGAGGTTCCTTTGTTTTAGAAATCTTGGTTGATTTCAATAACTGACTATTTAGGCTACTTTTTTCTCTTCTTGTGCTTTAAATTCTCGCTTTTATGTTTTAAATTCACCAATAAAGAGTGAGCCCAAGAAACCCTAGGCCCCCACCCTCGACCCCTATAAAAGCAGAACTCCAGGCCTGTGTTCTTTCTCTCTCCACCATCTACCTCACTGTGAGGCCCTAGGTGTGCTGTGTAATTTCCACGTCCTGTGAGTAATAAACCTTTTATTTTTTCAAAGTTTCCTGACATTTATTACTGA